CTAGAGTACATATAATACCTAATGCAATAAAAATTCTATGTAAATGATGGCTACACTGTATTGTTTAGAGAATAATGACAAGAAAAAGTATATGTTCAGTGCAGATGGAATCTTTTTTCTCAAATATATTCAGTCCTTTTGAATCTACAGATATAGAGCCCACAGATATGGAGGGCTTTTCTAGGAAGTTATGGGGTTCTCTAGCATGCTTCCCAGCCCCCCTACCCCTACTTCCCCAGTTTTCTAATGAGATGTAAACCTTTCAGAAGTTCTCTGTTTTGAGAAAAACTTACAGAAAGAAAATCAGAGGTGGGAGTGGAACTAATGAGAAAGAGGCTCAAAAGAGACCTTATCCAACTACAGTGTATGAATCTTATTTAGATCCTGACTCAAATAGCAGGTTGTAAAAAATATCAAACAAAAACTATGACATTCATGAGACAATTGGAAGTTTGAATCCTTAATAGATATCGGATCTTAAGAAATTACTGGTAATTATTTTACATCTCAAAATGGAGCCATAACTGTATTTTAAAAAGAGTCTTTTGGAGAAATGTGCTAAAATATTTGCGAATAGAATGACATGATCGTGAGTGAGGATGTATGAACCATGTTTAGCCATGAACTGACAAGTTTCAGAACTGAGTGACTGGTAACCTGAGGGTTAATAGTACTCTTCGGTCCATTTTTTTTGTGTAAGTTTTATAGTTTTCATAATATAAAGTGTAAATACCCAAAAGGCTTAGCGGGAATTCATCTACCGAGGCCCACTCATTGGGAAGGGCTGCCTGTCATAGTCATATAATCACTGGGGTAAATATGGAAGTTCAATCAGAAAAGCTATAGTGGGGAGCTGGCTGGAAGCGGGCCCAGGCTGTGTGGCTGTCATCTAGCCTCAAGGCCCATTTGCCCTCTATAAATAACTGCCTCTGTGAATGCTCTACTATTTTAATGTGCATTTGTCACAGCTGTGAGTGTGTTTGTTTACGTAGCTATGAAACCTTCTGTAAACATCACTATCTCAAAATTGCCCATGTGCCAGGAGCATAAAGGACCCCCTTTAAAAATATATTCACAGATGAGACACGGCCAGCTCTGGAGTGTCTGGGTGGTGGTGTCAGAATTTTCCAGGGTTTGATTCACTTTCAAAAATAGAATCACATGACTAGAAGGTTCTTGGGAGGTCGCCTTGATTGTCCCCATGACTTAGGCAGGACCAGTCTGAGGCCATCCAGGGAGAATGTGGGTCTGTCCTTTATGGTGTGAGTCTGTCTGATCCCTTTAAGCCCTGCAGGATGGGCCAAGCTTTTGTGCTGTCTTCAAGGGGCTTGCTTTGATTATCTAACAGCAGCTAGGCATGCAACACGAGGTACCCACGGAGCACACGCTGCCTGTGCTGCACCCATCTACCTGCCTCCACCAGCAAGCTCCCTGCAGACAAGGACCTGAGTGGCCAGCCTCCTGCAGGGCAACACACGTCTCCAGAAAATACCATGTTGGCGTCACCGTGTCCCCATGACGTGCTGATATGTAGGCCATACTGGCATATTGAGTCTGGATGCATTGTGCGACTGACTCATCCTTGACAGAGCCCTGTTAATTTAGACCCCTGAAAACAGTCATTCAAGATCAGTTGAGACAGTTTTGAAACAAGTAGTAAGTATAGGGGAAGTCCTGTTTTTGGTGGTACTGGAGTTGGAACTTGGGGCCTAGTGCTTGCTAGGAAGGTGCTCCACCACTTGAGCTACACCCTCACCCTTTTTTGCTTTAGTTAGATTTTGGGGTAGGGTCTTGGGTTTTTGGTGAAGCTGGCCTGGGACTGTAATCCTCCTACTTATGGCCTTCTACATAGCTGAGACCACATGCTGGATTATTGATTAAAATTGGGTCTTGCAAACTTTTTGCTGGGACTGACCTCAAATTGTGATCCTCACAGTTGATCGCTACCTCCCAAGTTGCTTGAATGACAGGCACCAGCCCCTGTGTCTGGTTAGGAAGCTGTTTTGTTGTTGTTTCCATGGCTCCTGATTTCTAGTCCTGCACTACAATGAATAATTAGATCCTTGTGAATTTGTTTTCCTCGAGTGTGCATTTGGTTCACATTTTTTTTCCTGTGGATTTGATATATAGAAGCATTTTTTTCTCCCTAAGGGCCTGTTTAATGCCCATCAATCCCTGTTGTGGTTTTCATTCACAAAGAAAAAGTGTCCCACTTGAAGCCTAAGAGATCAGTTGTGCCGGAGGAAAGGACCAGGCACATCCAGCTTCCAGAAGTCTCTGGAACTTTCTAGAACACTGTTCCTCTACTTTCCAGAAATTGGAAAGCTATATGTTTTCAAATAAAATCCACAGTGGTTGCCTTTTCTGGGGACAGAAAAGTGTTTTGATTCTTTTTGCTGGCAGCTGCCCAGGTTTCACTCAGAATGTGTGGAAAAGGCCACTGAGTGCTCAGAGACAAGTATCACTGCTAATTATCAAGAAAGCCATGTTTCTGCCTTTGTACAGTTTCAATCATTACCAGCTGTCATCAGAAAGACAGGATCTGCCCCAGGGGAGCTATGGCTCTGGGGTACCACAGGGATAACTTGCTTACTCCAGACTCACGTGTTTTTGGAGCCTGAGCTTCCCCTGAGGAAAGCTCCAAGCCCAGGTCCTGCCGTGTGAGGCTGAGGTTAATGTGGCTGGGAGCCTTGTCCTTGAGCTCAGAGACACAAGGATGGGAAACTCTGTCCACTGCTTTCCCTTGGGTCCGATCAGGGAGCCTTATAGTGAGAGTCTGATAGAAGAACTCATCAGGAGCGATCAGCTGATGCTGCGGAACTGAGCCTCAGTGGGACACCACTAGGGGGACCCAGAGTCCCTGTGCTCCCTGAGGCTGGGGAAGCTTCTGAGCAGGGGAAGGTGACAGTGCTTCCTGCTTGAAGGGATGTCTCTCTCCTCCCCTCCTCCCCTTCTGCTTTCCTGCCCTCCTCCCTCTTCTCTCCTGCTCTTCTCTTTCCCTCCTCCCCTCCCCTTCCCTGTCTCTCCCTCCTCCTCTCCTCCGTTCTCCTCTCATTTCTCCTTCTCCCTTTCTTCTCCTGTCTCTCCCTCCTCCTCTCCTACCTCCCCGTGGTCCTCTCCTCTTTTCCTCCTCCCCATTTCTCTTCTTTTCCTTCCTCTCCTTTCCCTCCTCTCCTCCTCCCTGCCCTCTTCCCCTCCTCCCTCCTCTTCTCCTCCCCTCTCCCCCACACAACTGTTGCCTCAGGAGAACATCCAAAAACCAGGCTGAAGGTACAGAGCCCTGTTAACATCTGAGTTCAAAATGCAGGAAGAAGTCTTAAAGCTGGGGGCTCATGAGTTATACGTAAGGAATAGTTTGTCACAGCCCAGGCTGGATCTATTGTCCGTGTCAATTTCTCCCACTCATTTTTATACCCTGGGCTCAGTGCCTGGCTTGCAGTAGGTGTGAAAAAAATACTCCCATCTCTCCCAGTATCCACTGGGCGGGGTTGGTTCCAGGACTCCCCAGGGATCCCCAGGCCTGCAGATGCTCAAGTCCCTATATGAACTGGCAGGGTGTTTGCATAGAATCTATGAACTTTAGATGGCTGATAAACACCTAATGCAATGGATGTGTTACATAAATAGTCATTGCATGGTATTGTTTTGGGAATAAGGGTAAAAAGAAAGTCACCAACTGTTCAATAGAAGATGCCTTTTTAAACAAATGTTTTGGATCCATGGTTGGTTGGTCTGCAGATGTGTTGTGATTCTTTAAAACTGTTTTCAGATTAAGTCCATGTTTCTTTTATTGTATGGAAAGGAAAGCATTCATTTCACTGAGACCCACGCAAAGCCTTTTGCTCATATTTTTAGTGTTTGCTGTATTTTAAAAAGTTATCATAAAAATTCATGCTACCACAAGAGAAAGTTGGTAGAGGGTGTGACTTTGCCTCCTGTTGGGACTGATAGAGACTTTCCTTTGAGAAGAACACTGGGGCCTGGCTACTTGTTACAGGTTGATGAGGGTTTGACCCAGCCAGCTGAGAAAACATTTCCAAATGCTATAGACCAACCAGGAACCTCAAACTGAAGGTTTAGAAACACAGAAGAACAGACTGCATGCAAAAGAGGACCCCAGAGTCAGCAGCGATGACTCAGAACAGTAAGCAATCGATGACTTATGATTCTACTTTACACTCTTCCTGGGAGGCTCTATTGTTAGTTTGACTTAGGTCTCATGGCTGTTTTGTGGGATATTACAGATAAATATGGGCAGAGCCTGCTTTGCTGTTTGGGTTTGAACTGTGTACAAAGTTGTTGAGATGTCAGTGATGACTTCCATAAAAAATGACCGTTTGCTCCCCTCCAAGAACAGATCATGTTCCATCAAACACGCCCAGGATTAGTGCTAACCACAGAGGGGTCAATGGGATTCCGGTAAATGAAACTTCAATTCTTTTCCTTTTCTGCTGGAGTTTGTTATGGGGTCTGTAGTCCAAGGTCTGCTGGGGACTCAGCAGGTAGAGAGACTTGGAAACAAAAAAAACCCCAAATCTATGGATCTTATGAATGGTTCCAAAGAACAAGTGAAGCTGTATTTTTATTATAGCAGTTTTTCAGGAGTTTTTTTTGAGGAGTGCTTAGCTTCTTCCCCTTGGCTTGGTAATAAATAACTGTGAGTATTTAAATTAGCCAGATTTTAAAGTCATTTAAATAGTGCTTCAGAGACAGATCAAATTTTAGCTTAAGGAAATATTGGGAAATTTAAAATATACAAATGGTATTTTTTATTGTTCATTAATTGTTTTCTTAAGGGCTTAAAAAAACTGAATGTCTGGACTTCTTGGTGAATATACTTAAGGTTATAACACACAGAAGCATCCTATTTCTAGAAGCAAGGGATAGTGTCAACAGTGAGTAAGGCTCAGTATTGTACATCTTGCAATAAGTAAGAATGCCAGGCAGAGTTTAAACCGAGCATCAATCCCACAGACAACCAAGGATCGAACCCGTCTTACCTGTGGCTTCCACCATTCCTTCTAGGATGACCACAATTTCCAGTTCCTCCTTAGGTAGCTGGGCTTTGGAGATCTCCCAGAAAGGACTCTGTTGGTTAATTTCATGGCTGATGATCAGAGGTGACACCAGAAACAGACGGTCATCGCCTGTGTAATAGCCTACGTTGATGTCTGTCTGGTTGAGGGGGATAAACTCCCCCTCTGAAGTCTGTTTGGACTTGATCAACTTGGCTCTGATGGATGCCTCCACAATGTGGGAATTCCTCAGGTCCCCAACCCGGAACATCAGGCACAGTTTCCCATCCCTCATGGAAATCACCGCGTGGGTGGAAAAGACCAGAGTCTCTGCCCTCTTCTTGGGTTGAGATATTTTTACAAACATGCATCCCACCATGAATGCGTTGACAATGGACCCCAACACAGACTGGATTAAGAGGAGAATGATCCCCTCCGGGCACTTATCTGTGATGACTCGGTAGCCATAGCCAATGGTGGTTTCTGTCTCTATTGAAAATAAAAAAGCAGAGACGAACCCATTGAGGTTGGTGACACAAGGAGTCCACGAGGGGTCCTCTGTGTGGTCCATATCTCCTCGGATGTATGCAATGAGCCACCAGATCATTCCAAAAAAGAGCCACGTCGCTGTGTAAACCATGACGAAGATCAGCAGGTTGAATCTCCACTTGAGGTCAACCAAAGTGGTGAAGATGTCGGTCAGGTAGCGGTAGGTCTCCCTCACATTACCATGGTGGACATTGCACTTCCCATCTTTCCTCACGTACCTCTGGATTTTCCTTTTGGTCCGGTCTCGGCTGATGTGTCTTGGCAGGTCGTCTCTTGCCTGCTTAGGCAACTTTGGCTGGTGAATGGCCACGGGGCTCTCCACATCCTGGTCCATGGAGTCACCCTCTAGGACGTTAGCTGGTGGTTTGGAGAGATAAAACCAAACCAAACAAACAAACAAACAAAAACAAAAAAGCACCAAATGAAAAACTGACTCTGCAGGTAGTAGAACTGCACACTTTATATATGGCACCGAAAGCAAATATCATCTGTGTAGCTGTAAACTAGGTAAATAAAGCCACTTTCACTTGGTGCCATATGGACAGGGCCCTGATTGCCTTAGGCTTCTGTGCCTAGCTTTGTAGGTCCTTCCCCAGCTACCCACCAGGATAGAGCTCCCTGCTGTGCCTTTATCTCCCTGCCAGTAGCTTCCACTGCTTCTGCTCTCAAAGTGTGACATCTCCTCACTCTGTTTGAGATACTGTGACAGCAGAGAGGTAATAAGATCCTTAGAGACATTTTGGGATTCAGAGGCTCTGCCACTTAGCAAGTATGGCCATCATGAACCAAACTGTGTTCCCCAAAAGCCATAGGTCAAAGCCGCAGCCCTTCAGTGTGACTCTTGTGAGGATGAAGTCTTTAAGGAGATGGTTACAGGTAAAAGAGTGGGGTTCTAATCTAACAGGACTTGTGTCCCTGCGAGAAGAGAAAGAGAACATAAAGGTGCACATGAACAGAAGAAAGACCACATGAGGACACCATGAGAAGGTGCAAGTCAAGAAAAAGATCTCTCCAGAAACCAGCCGTGCTGACACCTTGATCTAGGACTTCCAGCCTCCAGAAGAGAACTGAGAGACAATGAATGTCTGTTGTTTAGGTCACTCAGTATGTGGAAATCTCCTACGGCAACTTGAACTGACCAATGCAGCGTCCAAACCCTCATTTAAATCAGGATCATTTCACACAACTCAAGGGTTAAGAAAATCGCACGTGACATGTGCGTGCATGAGACGTGTAATAAATATTATTACCCTCTTCATATTTAAGGAAAGAATTTTATACAAGTTATTGAAGCTATGGGTCAAATTTCAGAGCTGGAAAATGTTGCAGCTTTTGTTGGTAAGTGTACATGCACTGGACTTTATGCTTGACTCAATGCCAAGGTTAAAAGAAGAAGTGTGGACAAATGTTATCTCTCTGTCCGTGTGTTCACACATTTCATTTGGTTTCGGCTTCAACACTGAGCGTCTGTAGCTTGGCGCGTGGTAGTTTTCTTTCTGATGGTCTTCATGAAGAATGCATTCGTGAATGCTGCATTAGCAAAGCGCTCTTAGAATCTGAGCGCAGGGAACTTTGGAACTCATTCTGCTATTAAACGTGTGTGAACCTCTGTATGGAATTACTTGTTTAGTCAATAACTTTAGAGCTTCTAAAAGTTTCATAAGCGGTTTCTTCCTCCAGGCTTGCATTCTGGGCCCTTTGTGCTGTGCACTTCCTCTGCAGTAACTATGTTTTCCTCTTGGTTAAAGGAGAAATGCCGTCTGGTGAGCAAGCACCATTTATCTGTGTAAGAAAAATAGCTAGGGATGGGGCTTGAGTGGCACCAACATAACCGATGGACCCACCTTGTTCGTAGCTGGTTAGTTGCCCTAAAACTCAATTGTATAGATCTGTTTTTATGTTTTTGCCTGAGGAAGAAAAAGCATTTGATCTGCAGAGCCTGCTGCGTGGTTTGATAGCTTTGACTTTTACATCATCGCCCTCAATAGCCCTTCATTTGTAAATGAGAAAATGTGCTTATTTACTTCTTAGAACAGATGCAAGGGCAAGAGAGAAAGAGAGGCCAGTACAGGGTGGAGGCAAAGTGGGGTATGTGGATGGAGAGCCCCTTTCCTGCTCACTGCCAGCATCCTTACATGGTGGGATTGTTCTAGTCCTGAATGATTGCATCTGGGCTCACTGCTAATTCTATCCTGAATGGTCTCTAAATGTGATTTCATATGGAATAACCACCAGGATCAAACACTGCCAGCTGGGAAGGCCTCATCTGCAGAGCCCTGCCGAGGGCCCAGCAGGTCTGGTGCACATTGTGGCCTTGACCCCTGGTAGGCTATGTGACTGTACACAGTCACCCTGAGCTCTTGTCTGTCTGAGTCTGAAGTGGAAGAAGCGGACTTGTCAGATTAGCTGTTTCTTAACAGTCTTTAGGCATATTTCATCCTTTGAAATGTTATGGAGGAAATCTGTCCATGCCTCCCTTCTACCCGACTTGAAGCTATATCCCCCATTTTCTGGCTTAACTGCAAAATTTGAGCTCTGAGACTGGAAGAGCTGGTTAGGAAGCCAAGGAGTGAGTGGTGATGGTGCCCTGAACAGCCTGGGAAACTGTCTGCTGGTTCCCTCAATCCTGGTCTTCTGGGGGACAGGACCACACCAACTTTCTCCACCTAAGGTTGAGATAGTTGGAGCTACCATAGAGTGACAAAATGCAAATAAACCCTGGGCCCTTACCTGTTACCTGTTAAATGAACAATGTGTGTTTTCTTTTGCCATCCTTGTGTTCTCTGCCATGCCTTGCTTTGAAACACCAGATTAGGCCACAAGGCCAGAATGTTTGCAGACTTGGTGGCCCTTGTGACTAAACCAAGCTAGTAGTAGTGGAGTTTTAGATGACTACAAAAATGACAAAGACAAGGGGGAACTGTCACCTAAGAAAAACCTAAGTAAACCCTGTAGCTTCACTTGCCCCTACTGAACTTAAAAAAAAAATCACTAATTTTCAAAGTCACACAACTGAGCAATACATTGTCTTCCCACTAGCTTTGATAATACCTCTGACCTACGGGTTATGATAACAGTTGCCTAGGTCACTTCTCAGACACTTGAAAGAGATTTTGCTAAAAACACTGGCTCTGTTTTTGGCAGCACTGGGGTTGGAACTCAGGACCTCATGCTTGCTAGGTATGTTCTCTTACCGCTTGAGCCACTCCACCAGCCCAAATACTGACTCTATTAGAGCAAGTAGATGGGTGACTAAAACGAGTTTAAAGCTTGGCCGCTGTGTCTTCATATCATGTCAGTACACTTTGCTGCCTCGCCTTTGAGTCAGACTCTGCTCTGCGTGTAGACTGTCAATCATCTGAGAAATGTTTTGTCTAAGACTCTAATGCAGGGTTAACTTGGCCTATTGCCCTTTGGACTAATGTGTTTCTTCTACCCCATCCTTAAGCTTTTTCAGCAGCTCAACATCTACAAGTCCCTCAGCCTTGTCATAAGGCTCAGATGGCACCCCGGAGCCAGGACATTTATGTGAGATGATGACATCAACAACAGGCGCAACTCAGCAGTTCCTGGGTTAAATCACTGTCTGTTGCCCTCCAAAAGTACCAGGCCAAGACGTTTGTGCACGAGAGGAACATTGTTTGAAACTGTCCCCATGACGAATGGACAATTACCAAACTTCAGCGGCTCCCCTGACATCAAGAAAACCTGTTGCTCCCTTTGCTAAGTGAGCAGCTGGTCAGAGCTAGCTTCCTTCAGTTCAAGTTGGTCATCTCAAGTTGAGATGACCTTACCTGTCTTGCTCATAATATGTGGCTTGATCTCATTTCTACTGTTTCTTTGCCACAAGATCCTGCTGTCTGATATCAAAGTGGTCACGGTAACAGAGTCCTGGTCCATCTGAAGTGGAGTATGCCTTTGTGGGCCAAGGTCTTAAACAGTGGATGTGCTCCCCTCTTAAACTTTTGTCTTTTCTATGGGCAGGGAGGATATGGGAGTCAAAAGGTGAAGGAACCTGGGTCCTGAGCAGTGTTGGAAATCTGCCATCAATCTAGAAGCAACAAAAACCACAACTCTGCTTGGTCATTACATATTTTATCTGCTATTGAATGAAACCTTATTTTTATCTCTAAACAGATAGAAGAATTACTGGTCTTGGAGACGGTTATAGGAGAGAGTGAAGGGATACAAAAGAAAGATGGTAGACTACTTGAACTTGTGTTTGTAAGAATTATAATATGGTTAGTTGAATGCTTGTGTTTGGAGATGGGGGAAAATGTAAATGCAGGAACCACTTCAGCACCTTTGAAAACAAGCAAAGAAAGTCCCCTGAGAGTGTGGTCAAAAGGTAGTCTTGGTGTGGCCTCTACATTTGAGGTGATGGATGCAGGCTAGGTGCATCTTGAGAAGATGGGGAGTGGGCCTCTGGGTTGACAGTGGCTGATGGTAAGAACATTTGAGAGAAACCAAAAAAGCCAAGGGACTGTGATCACCCTGGGAGAGTAGAAGAGACTGAAGTTGGAGCTCCAGGGACCCAGGGTGGGCAAAGTTGGAGAGGAGAGAGGCTGGGGTGTGGTGTGGCCTGGGCTTGTGGTGGGAGCAAGGAGATGGGGCAGAGCCTCATGACTGTGTCCAGAATATTGCAGGGATCACTGTACACAGAGAAAGGGTCATTTTAGGTCTGAGTCGTGAGCTGTGACTCCATAGCCCACTCTCATGCATGCAGATGTGTGCCAGGGAAATGCAGAAGGAAATGTTAATGATGGATTTTAGCATTTCTTTCTTGGAACCCAGGTGTGAATTTGAGTGGGGATCTGAATGTCATTTCTGAGCACTCTTAGCTGCACAGTGGTGCAAGCTGCAGCTAGATTAGGAAAGCATAGCTGTGGACACAATGACTTCCTCCTGCACTTGCCTGGCAAGAGCTTGCCCTGGCCCTTGGCCACCATATGCACTGGTCACATGGCCAGTGCCAACAGGTTGCATGGAGCCTGCAGATGGGTTGATGAGAGAATGTAGAGGAGAGGACACCTAATGCTAACTATTAATGGCTGTGCAAACGTGCAAAAGGACAGAAGGAATGGTGATGAGGATTTGGATGAGTGGCTTGAGTTAAGAGTTGTTTATCTAGATTTTGGCTTATTATATATATATGGGGCCTGTGTGAAGAAGGCCAGCTCTTTGTTCTATCCCACCCCTATTTTCCATGTTTCTTTTTTTCTCTCTCTCTCTCTCTTTTGGGAAGCTGATCAATTTACACAGAAGTAGCTAAGGTACAAAATAGTTTAGTGTTGGAATCTAACCTGCAAGATAATGATAAATGGGAGAGCCAAAAGCTGGAAGAGGCCTGGTT